CTCTTCTGTAGGTGTGGCCTGCTTTCCGGGTCCACCGGTGGAACCTCTTCTAACTGGTTCGGTAGATTTGACAAACCGGTTCTACCGAATAGGTGCGAACTGGTAGGAACCCACCTCTGGTCTCATCCTAATATATGAATCAGCCAGAGTTTGCTGTTTAACTGTAGTTGGTAATCAAAGTTCAAATGATGGAGGGGGGGGGCATCAGCGGACTATAATGTTTAACTATCATTAGGGCTAAAAGGGGGAAACCAGAGGGAATTCACTGAGTGGAATCCTAATGCCATTGTGATGTCTTTGGTTTCAGTGTAGATGGTGACTGCCTGCCCATCTGTATCTGTCAGACAGCTCTCAGCCAGAGACCCCAATTTTCTACTGCATAGAACATAAAATCATAAGGCTGGAAGGTCTTCTAGTCCAATCACTGCTTAAGGCAGGAGACCTTATATCATCCTGGTGAAATGGCTTTCCAAGGTATTTTTGGAACCTCCAGTGATGAAGCATCCACAACTATCCAGCTATACCATTGATTATTAATCCTCCTCCTCCTCCTCCTCTTCCTCTTCTTCTTTTTACCACTTCAGATGTCAAAGAGATACAAAGTTTGGGTTTTTGCACTTCTTGTTGCCTCAACCATTGTTATTTGATGCTGCTGAAGTATGTATTTCTATCTTCTTCCAGATCTCCCTGAATTGTAGACACTTTCAGAAAATTTCTCCTTACTTCTAGGTTAGATCTCTCCTTGCCGATCTGTACTCATCTACAAGGCTACTTGGGGTTTCTGCTGGAACAAAATCCAACAGGATAAAGACTGGGGTGCCTGCAGACAGGTCAAAAAGTATTATTTCCCCTTGCAGACAACCTATATTGTTGTTTTAGACAGCAAAACACAATTTTCTATGCTGCACTTTTGTGTGTGTATGTTGATGCAATAACAGAAAAAAAAATGTCCTGGGCAATATATTTTCCTAACTTAGGAAGAGCTTTAGCAAATTGTTCTGTCAGAAGAGAAAGTTATTTGTATTGGAGAAGATAGGAAAGGAGGCAAAATTTGAGACCTATGTCGGGGGGGGGAGGTTCTTTAAATTACACTGATGTTTCTTGTGAAGAGCTTTTCAAATAAGTTTTTATATATATATACAGGTTAACTCCCTGCCTGGGAGGCAATAGAGCACAGGTTCGATTCCCAAAAAACTTGGGTATGGCTAGCTGATGAGAGCT